GCATCTTTCAAATTGACAGAGCTTGTTTTTCTGAATCAAATAAGACTAAAAGGAGTGAAATCTGATAAACACTTTAAAATTTTATGGTGTGATGAAGTTGCTGAAAAACTGATCACTAATGAGCAACAGCGACTTAAAAGCGGCAGTGGTGTTTACATTCTACAATTACTGATGCCAAGAGATATGTATCTTCTTTCAACAAACCGGCCATGTCTAACCAAAGCAGGGTGACCCAAAAGGAAAAACCTAAGTTTCTCCTTTAAAATTTAATAATATACACAGGAGAAAGGGTTAGAAGCCACTTGCTCCTGAAGATATATATGTATGTATATGTATGTATGTGTGTGTGTGTGTGTGTGTGGTGTGTGTGTGTGTGTGTGTGTGTGTGTGTGTGTGTGTGTGTGTGTGTGTGTGTGTGTGTGTGTGTGTGTGTGTGTGTGTGTGTGTGTGTGTGTGTGTGTGTGTGTGTTGTGTTGTGTTTTTAACAAGTCGGGCCGTCTCCCACCGAGGCAGGGTGACCCAAAAAGAAAGAAAATCCGCAAAAAGAAAATACTTTCATCATCATTCAACACTTTCACCTCACTCACACATTATCACTGTTTTTGCAGAGGTGCTCAGAACGCAACAGCCTAGAAGCATATACCTATAAAGATACACAGCATATCCCTCCAAACTGCCAATATCCCAAACCCCTCATTTAGAGTGCAGGCATTGTACTTCCCATTTCCAGGACTCAAGTCCGGCTATATAAAAATAACCGGTTTCCTTGAATCCCTTCACTAAATATTACCCTGCTCACACTCCAACAGATCATAAGGTCCCAAATACCATTCGTCTCCATTCACTCCTATCTAACACACTCACGCACGCTTGCTGGAAGTCCAAGCCCCTCGCCCACGAAACCTCCTTTACCCCCTCCCTCTAACCTTCTCGAGGACGACACCTACCCCGCCTTCCTTCCCCTACAGATTTATACGCTCTCCATGTCATTCTTTGATCCATTCTCTCTAAATGACCAAACCACCTCAACAAAACCCTCATCAGCCCTCTGACTAATACTTTTAACTCCACACCTTCTCCTAATTTCCACACTCCGAATTTTCTGCATAATATTTACACCACACATTGCTCTTAGACAGGACATCTCCACTGCCTCCAACCGCCTCCTCGCTGCTGCATTCACAACCCAAGCTTCACACCCATATAAGAGTGTTGGTACTACTATACTTTCATACATTCCCTTCTTTGCCTCCATAGATAACGTTTTTTGTCTCCACATATACCTCAACACACCACTCACCTTTTCTCCCTCATCAATTCTATGATTAACCTCATCCTTCATAAATCCATCCGCCGACACGTCAACTCCCAAGTATCTGAAAACATTCACTTCTTCCATACTCCTCCTCCCCAATTTGATATCCAATTTTTCTTTACCTAAATCATTTGATACCCTCATCACCTTACTCTTTCCTATCTTCACTTTCAACTTTCTACCTTTACACACACTCCCAAACTCATCCAGTAACCTTTGCAATTTTTCTTTAGAATCTCCCATGAGCACAGTATCATCAGCAAAAAGCAACTGTGTCAATTCCCATTTTGCATTTGATTCCTCATAATTTAATCTCACCCCTCTCCCGAACACCCTAGCATTTACTTCTTTTACAAACCCATCTATAAATATATTAAACAACCATGGTGACATTACACATCCCTGTCTAAGACCTACTTTTACCGGGAAGTATTCTCCCTCTCTTCTACATACCCTAACCTGAGCCTCACTATCCTCATAAAAGCTCTTTACAGCATTTAGTAACTTACCACCTATTCCATATACTTGCAACATCTGCCACATTGCTCCTCTATTCACTCTATCATATGCCTTTTCTAAATCCATAAATGCAATAAAAACTTCCCTACCTTTATCTAAATACTGTTCACATATATGCTTCAATGTAAACACTTGATCCCCTACCCACTCTGAAGCCTCCTTGCTCATCCACAATTCTACATTCTGTCTTACCTCTAATTCTTTCAATTATAACCCTACCGTATACTTTTCCTGGTATACTCAGTAAACTTATTCCTCTATAATTTTTACAATCTCTTTTGTCCCCTTTCCCTTTATATAAAGGGACTATACATGCTCTCTGCCAATCCCTAGGTACCTTCCCCTCTTTCATACATTTATTAAACAAAAGTACCAACCACTCCAACACTATATCCCCCCCTGCTTTTAACATTTCTGTCATGATCCTCATCAGTTCCAGCTGCTTTACCCCCTTTCATTCTACAGTAATGCCTCACGTACCTCCCCCACACTTACATTCTGCTCTTCTTCACTCCTAAAAGATGTATACCTCCCTGGCCAGTGCATGAAATTACCGCCTCCCTTTCTTCCTCAACATTTAAAAGTTTCTCAAATATTCTCGCCATCTACCTAATACCTCCCTCTCCCCATCTACTAACTCCCCTACTCTGTTTTTAACTGACAAATCCATACTTTCTCTAGGCTTTCTTAACTTGTTTAACTCACTCCAAATTTTTTTCTTATTTTCATTAAAATTTCTTGACAGTGCCTCTCCCACTCTTTCATCTGCTCTCCTTTTTGCACTCTCTCACCACTCTCTTCACCTTTCTTTTACTCTCCATATACTCTGCTCTTCTTATAACACTTCTGCTTTGTAAAAACCTCTCGTAAGCTACCTTTTTTCTCTTTTATCACACCCATTACTTCATCATTCCACCAATCACATCCTCTTTCCTCCTGCCCCCACCCTTCCTATGACCACAAACTTCTGCCCCACATTCTAATACTGCATTTTTAAAACTATTCCAACCCTCTTCAACCCCCCCACTACTCATCTTTGCACTAGCCCACCTTTCTGCCAATAGTTGCTTATATCTCGCCCGAACTTCCTCCTCCCTTAGTTTATACACTTTCACCTCCCTCTTACTTGTTGTTGCCACCTTCCTCTTTTCCCATCTACCTCTTACTCTAACTGTAGCTACAACTAAATAATGATCTGATATATCAGTTGCCCCTCTATAAACATGTACATCCTGGAGCCTACCCATCAACCTTTTATCACCAATACATAATCTAACAAACTACTTTCATTACATGCTACATCATACCTTGTATATTTATTTATCCTCTTTTTCATAAAATATGTATTTCTTATTACCAAATTTCTTTCTACACATAGCTCAATTAAAAAGGGTCCCCATTTACATTTACCCCTGGCACCCCAAATTTACCTACTACTCCCTCCATAACATTTTTACCCACTTTAGCATTGAAATCCCCAACCACCATTACTCTCACACTTGATTCAAAACTCCCCACGCATTCACTCAACATTTCCCAGAATCTCTCTCTCTCCTCTACACTTCTCTCTTCTCCAGGTGCATACACGCTTATTATAACCCACTTTTCACATCCAATCTTTATTTTACTCCACATAATCCTTGAATTTATACATTTGTAGTCCCTCTTTTCCTGCCATAGCTTATCCTTCAACATTATTGCTACTACTTCTAGTTCTTCTTCTTGTTTATTTCCTCTTATCTCCATGGGGAAGTGGAACAGAATTCTTCCTCCGTAAGTTATGCGTGTTGCAAGAGCAAGGGGCTAGTAACCCCCCCTTCTCTTGTATAAATTACTAAATTTAAAAAGAGAAACTTTCGTTTCTCTTTTTGGGCCACCCTGCCTCGGTAGGATGCGGCCAGTTTGTTGAAAAAAAAAATAAACATGTCTGTCCGTTTGTCTCTCTAGCTCTCTGTTTATCTCAGTCTCTGCTTATCTGTCTTTCTGTCTCTCTGTCTGCTTGTCTCTCTGCTTGCCTCTCTTTCTGTCTCAGAGAGAGCAACTCATGAACAAACAGGTGTTACATATGATGCAGAGATACAGAGTAGTCACGTCTGATTCCTGAACAAGTGAAAATGCATATTACTTGCCAGTCATGCTTATTATGCATTAAATCTACAAGCACAGTATAGCACTTTGTCTGGATTTTTTGGGGTTATCCTAGGTAATTTACACTGTGGATAACTGTATTTGTGTGTACCTGTGAGATAGAGACAGAGATAGACAAAGAGACAGACAGAGATAGATACAGACAGACAGACGGAGATAGAGACAGGCAATCAGTTAGTCACCCAGCCACCAGCCAGCCAGCTGGTCAGCCAACTGCCGGCTAGCCAGCAAGCCAGCCAGCCTGCCGAATACATATTACGTTCCAGAATTGTTTCTCATTACTTAGGACATAGGTTATAGGACATTCTGGCAGGATGGCGCTACTAGTAGTACCAAAATTGAAAGGATGTTGCACATGGGTTATTATCAAGGTTTTTGATATTTTCTCAACCACTTGTGGTCACATCCACCTCAAAGCCACTAAACTCGGAGTCAACATCACTTTCCGCTTAAAAGGGGAGTGTTAATAAGACATAACATCAGTAAATCCCTGGTGTTTGCCATGCTGTTTGTTCTAACTGGTGCTCAGTTGAACTGGTGCTCCCACAAGGTACTAAGTGGTCCCAGATATCTTTAATACTGTACTGCACACACCAAGTGTTAAGACCCATTCTATGCTGACCGGGCATCTCAGGCCAATCATGCCAAATTTGGAGACAGGAAAAATAAAACACTGCTCTACATTTGGAGTGCTACCAGTAACAATGTAGATCTATGTTTGGACAGTTAAGGGGTTAAGAAAAAGAGATCTATTTGGTTTAAGAAAACTAAGACTAATTAAAATAAAAAAAAAATGATAAAAAGAAACTGCTGCCAACCTCCCTCTTAACTAAATAGACAGTTCACAGTGCCATAAAAGTTTTGCAATTTATATTCCAGTGTCTCACATAGACCAATAAATTTAAAAGCAAAATTACTGACAACGATTAAAAAAAATTTAGTTAAATGTCATGGATTTGCAACTACAAAATTTTTAATTAGCAATAATGAATATTTTTGTGTACATTAATAATCATACCTGTTGTCTTGTTCAGCTTGTAGAAGATCTGGCTCAATAGCTACAGTTTCCAAGTGTTCTGATGGTAGACTAGCTTCACTTTTTCCCTCATCATCATCAGCATCACTGGTTTCTGAAGTTTCAGGTATGGAGGGGTCACATAAGTGGCTAACAAGGACTCCATTGCTTTCATGTAAATTCTCCAAAACACTATTTTCATCCTTTTCCTGCAGTGACATTTGTATACTCACTGAGGTATGCTTATCATCCTCAACTTTTGAATGTACATCAGCTTCAGCAAGGTTTGAGTCAACACAACTGCTGCCATCTTTTACATCACTGAGAGAATTTTGTTTTCTATCTTTCTCTATTACACTAGTTTGATTATCCCTCTGACAATTATTTATGTCAGTTTCCTCCACGCTTTTTACATTTCTACGATTTTTTCGACCATCGGTCCTTTTTGAATCATTCAAAAAAAATTTCTTCAAGTCTACTCCACAAACCTTTTTGTCTTCATTTCTATCAATATTTACTGAAGATTTTTTGTCACCAGGCAAGCTCTGACTTTTGGATACTGTACAGTTCCTTTGACTGTCTCTCCCTATGCATAGACCATTAGTTTCCTCCCTGGTCTTTGGCACATCATTTGACACACTGCTCTCACTAATGGCCAAGGATGGCATAGATGTGGCAGAACTTGGAACATGAAAACGTTGCTTTATTTCTCCACCACAATGACCTGTTAAGAAGAGAGAAAAAAAAGGGAGTATTTGTGAAAATAATGAATGTATCATTAATACATAATAAAAAAATATAATTCAGACTGAATGAATGATGGTGAATATGTTTCCTTTTTCAGGTCACCCTGCCTTGGCAGGAGATAGCTACTCAGGTAAAAAAAAAATGACAGCGAATCAACATGGATGATTAATTTATCTACAAGAGATGTAATAAACCCATAAGGGTCATGACAGATAATCAGGTTTGAGCAAAGAAATGGAAAAAATTTATTAAATAAAGAGCCCTTCATCAGCATGAAGGCTTTACCCTTGAAGAAGTACAATGACACATCTGAAGCAGCAGTCCAGCAAGACTAATTATAAAGCATTGACCAATTAAAATGTATCTTTCCCTCCACTAGAAAATTTAGTTTGCATTTTATAAATAAATAAATCACAATAATTTTTTTCATATAGTCGGACTTGAGTCCTGGAAATGGGAAGTACAATGCCTGCACTTTAAAGGAGTGGTTTGGGATATTGGCAGTTTGGAGGGATATGTTGTGTATCTTTATATGTGTATGCTTCTAGACTGTTGTATTCTGAGCACCTCTGCAAAAACAGTGATAATGTGTGAGTGTGGTGAAAGTGTTGAATGATGATGAAAGTATTTTCTTTTTGGGGATTTTCTTTCTTTTTTGGGTCACCCTGCCTCGGTGGGAGACGACCGACTTGTTGAAAAAAAAAAAAAAAAAAATCACAATACTATCATATTACCTAACTTGATTCTTTTATGATCATTATTTCTATGTGAGACAACTTCCAGTTTATGCAGTCATTTATTGCCCTTTTATAAATACGTATATTAAAGTCATGATGGCATTACATGTCTAAAGACGTTTTCCATGTTTGTTTTGATCATCTTGCATTCAGCACTTTTAACTCTCCAATAAGCAATACTTTCCCAACAAGGTTTTAAACAAGACCAAGTAAACAAACAGCAAGGAAAACAGACAAAATTTATACAGGTCCTCCATCACAAATCCGGCATCATTGGGACCTGTAGTGTGACGGATTACTGAGTTTGCCGGATTACAGAGTGGTTAGGTTAGAATACACTTAATAAAATTAACCAACTTGACTTGCACCAAGTTCATTGAACATCGGCAAAAATCGAACATTTCTACTACTTTGAGCTCAATTTCAAGGCACTTTTCGTCATGAAAGCAATCAAAATCATGTCTATTTCTGTAATATATCTTCCATTCTATGAATTGAGTCCAAAAAATGAGAATACAACCATAAAAACCATACAAAAATATACTGCAAAGAGACGGCTAATGGCTGAGAGGTGAACTCCCTTATTTATCGTCCGTCTTTTTTATTTTTGGTGTACGTTAAGAAGCCTCTTTCCATCATACATTGCATAAGTTTCAATAAGATAACCCAACAAACAACTGAGAAAAAAAGATATTTACCAAAAATCACATATGGCAAGCCCAAGCCAGGTACCGGAAATAAGTCACTTTGTCTGACTTTTCTGGGTTATCCTAGGTTCTCTATACATACACTGCTATGTATGATAATCTATGTAACTGTATTCGTATATACCTGAATAAACTTATTTACTTCTAGTCTGTCAACTGAGTACAAGAAACCGCCCATTCACTTATTTCAACTACCCAATAAAGTAGACAGAAATTGGCAATTTGCCGATTTCACACAAATTTTAACAGATGCCAATTTCAAAATAGGGTCCAGAAAAAAAATGCAGACATTCCTGGCACTAAAATAACATTTTCTCTGTTCATTAGTCACAGCTACAGGCCCCTCTTATATTACTCTTGCTTAACATTTGGAATTTTTATTCACACAAAAAAATAGAAGATTTACTGTTATGCAGACTGCTGCATTATTGTAATAATTGTATAAATAATGCCAACCCATTCTTGACTACGTATTAGAATTTGGACTGGCAGGCAGACAGGTATTGGACGGTGACGTCATTTGTTTACTCTTGAGCTTCGCTAAAGAATAGAACATTTTCGCTACTGTGAGCGCAATTTCAAGGTACTTTTCGTCATGAAAGCAATCAAAATCATATGTATTTCTGTAATATATCTTTCATTCTTTCAAATGAGACCAAAAAAATGAGAATATAACCATAAAAAACATACAAAAATATACCGCTAAGCGGCCGCTAATGGCTGAGAAGTGAACTCCGCTATTTATGGTCTGATTTCTTTCATTTTTGATGTACGTTAAGAAGTATCTTTCCATCATACATTGCCCAAGTTTGAATAAGATAACCCAACAAACAACTGAGAAAATAATATAATAATAATAATAATAATAATAATAATAATAATAATAATAATAATAATAATAATAATATGAAAGTATAGTAGTACCAACACTCTTATATGGGTGTGAAGCTTGGGTGGTAAATGCAGCAGCGAGGAGACGGTTGGAGGCAGTGGAGATGTCCTGTTTAAGGGCAATGTGTGGTGTAAATATTATGCAGAAAATTCGGAGTGTGGAAATTAGGAGAAGGTGTGGAGTTAATAAAAGTATTAGTCAGAGGGCAGAAGAGGGGTTGTTGAGGTGGTTTGGTCATTTAGAGAGAATGGATCAAAGTAGAATGACATGGAAAGCATATAAATCTATAGGGGAAGGAAGGCGGGGTAGGGGTCGTCCTCGAAAGGGTTGGAGAGAGGGGGGTAAAGGAGGTTTTGTGGGTAAGGGGCTTGGACTTCCAGCAAGCGTGCGTGAGCGTGTTAGATAGGAGTGAATGAGACGGAATGGTACTTGGGACCTGACGATCTGTTGGAGTGTGAGCAGGGTAATATTTAGTGAAGGGATTCAGGGAAACCGGTTATTTTCATATAGTCGGACTTGAGTCCTGGAAATGGGAAGTACAATGCCTGCACTTTAAAGGAGGGGTTTGGGATATTGGCAGTTTGGAGGGATATGTTGTGTATCTTTATATGTGTATGCTTCTAGACTGTTGTATTCTGAGCACCTCTGCAAAAACAGTGATAATGTGCGAGTGTGGTGAAAGTGTTGAATGATGATGAAAGTATTTTCTTTTTGGGATTTCCTTTCTTTTTTGGGTCACCCTGCCTCGGTGGGAGACGGCCGACTTGTTGAAAAAAAAAAAAAAAAAAAAATAATAATAATAATATCTTTATTTATTACACGTACAAGTACAAGGTATACAGACATAGCTAACATCAGTGACATACTACTATATAGAAATCTGCTTGTTATGCAGAGTAATTTCAAGAAAATTAGGTCAGTGTCCCAGGATAACACCCACACCAGTCGGCTAACACCCAGGTACCCATTTACTGAAGGGTAAACATAGACAACAAGTGTAAAGAAACACGCCTAAATGATTCTATCCTGGCTGGGAATCGAATATTTACCAAAAATCATATATGACTAACGCAAACCAGGTACTAAAAATAAGCCACGTTGACTTTTTGGGGTTATCCTAGGTTCTCTACACATATGCTGCTATGTGTGATAATCTATATAGAGAAAGTAACTTTTTTGTTTCAGGTTTATGGTGCAGTACGAGTGTATATCACAGTTAGCCCTGTGCTATACTCCGTTTTCTCTAATATAAGCCCCCAAGACAGGGATAGGAGAATGGTATTTGTATACCATATCCTCTTCATACCTCCATCGAACTGCTCAGTATTATGCCAAATATTATTCATTCTGGAGTATTTAACATGTTTTATGTTATTTATATTGTTTATTATGTCATATTAGATCAATTGTGATAGGCAAATAAGCTGTAGTGTTGATATTAGCATAATAATAAAGCATATTCTCCTGCTTCATGAGACTGAGTTCATGACAACTGACAGTGGCTTCAAAGCCACCTTATCTTTAATGGATAATGTACTGTGTTGGTGCTTTACATAATGAGAAGCATTTCTTTTATTCATTGGAACCATGGCTAGGGCTAAAAGTAAGCAGGTTAAAACAATAAATGGAGAAGAAGAAATTGGAATAACTTATGCAGCAAGTAGTGCCACCAAACAGTACCAGCAGGTTGGTGTGGCAACCCTGGAAATTTGAAATTATGCTAGCCAAAATTAGTGCAGAATAACTGAAGGAACCGAATAACTGATTGCCGGATTTGTGATGGTGGACCTGTACAAGGAAAAAAGGAACAAAAATAGCTGTAGCACTGATAACAAAATTAGGCTAATCAATTTTATACTCATTTTGCTGAGTATAAGAAAAAGTTTTGGAAATTAATAAGTTGAGAAAGCTTAGGAAACAAATGTATTTAACAGTTAAAAACAAAAGAAGGGAGTTATTAGATGGGGAGATGAAGGCATTAGGAGATAGAGGTAATATTATGAGGAGCTGTAATTAAATGATGTTGAAGAATGGTAGGGGCAGGGAGGCATAACATCTTTTGAGAGTAAGGAAGAGACAGATGTGAGTGTGAGGAAGTGTGTGAGGCAGTAGGTAGAATAAAAGGGAGTAGAGCAACAGGGATTGATAGGATCAAGACAGAAATGTTAAAAGTAGGTGGCAATATATTTCTGGAGTTGTTGGTCCATTCTTCTATAAATGTACAAAAGAGGTAATGGTTCATAGGGGTTGACAGAAAGCATACATTCAAAGTTTATTCTCTATAAGGATTACAATGCTGAGTTTACAGAATTTAGTTATTGTGTGGTTTACATGTAGTAAAATAATAATTACAGAGTGTACCACTAGAACACCTAGCATGGCTAGGCATTTCGGGCAGACTTAGATTAAATCTTAAGTTTAAAATATACAAAATTATGAGGTTAAGTTGGTATTATGGCTAAGCGACTAAATACTAGTTTGTGAGTTTAGCAATGTGAATGCTTTTGTTTTGGCACTATACATAGTTTCAGTATTGGAGTATCACAGGCCAACTTATGACTAGTTAAGATTCATTATTTTGAGATTGAGATTGATATTTCTGTTTATGGTCAAGTGGGTGAGTGAGTGTAAGTGTGAACCA